AATATGATTTTTAAACAAATTATAAAAAAAGGTAACACTTTAGTTTAGGATCTAAAGATCACTATTAACCATTTTCATTACGATGCAAAGGCACGGTTTTATAATAACTGTGGTCCCAAATGTGAGGCAGGGCAAATAGGGGGGTTCGGGGTCTCCCCGAGAAAATTTTGATTTCTCTGATCTACATATGTGCATTTTAAGATGTTCTGAAGGCCAAAAAACTTGGATAGTGGGCAGCTGACAATTTTTCTCTCCTCATCAGCAGCATCACTTTTTTTCTCTTTGTTTTTCTCTTGCCCTGTCTCTTCCCCTCCTAAAGCTGAGCTTTGACTGATATAGGCTTTTCATTTTTGTCTGTCAGTGAAGAAAGTAAACATAGGGTCAACTGATAGGTTGATTTTGCCTATGAATCATTTTCTCAGACGCGTTTATTTACTGAAAGCTACTAAAGGTAATTAAGTTTATTAAATGCATTCACAATATGTAGGCTACACATTTATTATTGATCTTATGCCTAATACAGGGCCGTAGACAGGGCTTTATAATCACAGAGGTCCTAAATTTGAGATTGGTAGGGGGGTAAAAAATTTTATTTCTGATATGTGCATTTCAAGACGTTTGAAGACCAAAAAAAAGGATAAGAAATAGCTTTAAAACCATGTCAGTGGGCAGATTATTTGTCAATACCTGCTCTCTTCTCATCTCCATCACTCTTCCTTTTTTTCTCAGTCACTTTAAGTTCCTCCCTTTCTCTTCCCCTCCTAAAGCTGAGCTTTTTTAATTTACTAAAGGCTACAATTTGTATTATATTCTCAATATGTACACATTCATTATTAATCTTGTGCCTAACATGATGAAACTAATTTGTTAATGTTTCTTGTAAACTAATTATTACATTACATGAGTTACATGAGTGTATAGGCCTATTTTCAGTTCAAAATGGCGAAATTAGACAAAACTATATTAGTTTGCCTGATTATTTTTTGTCATTCGTTTAACATTTATGACCTAAAAAAAGTAAAATATGAAATGTTAAGTTTAGCTACTTACATCTTATTTCGCACTTGACCGTACGCGTCGAGTCCATAGACTGTAAAAAATGGTCGTGTCGCACTGTTAAAATTCGCGCTCAGCAGCGTCTGTGAACATAAAGCCCGCCTACTTTGATTTGATTGGTTGTCTCTGACATTGACGAGCAGTGACAGACCAATGAGGCTCAGATGAACACACAAATGAACACACACACCCTGTCCTCTGTTTCTGACGTGCTCTCTGCACGGCGCAGCTGTGGATTGAGAACGTGCTGAATCTGATTATATCAAGACTGAAGCGAACACGAATTTGTGTAGCCTACATTAATCTCACATTTTTAGGGGGGCTTGGCAGAAGTTTAGGGGGGCTGAAGCCCCCCTAAAAAGGGCCTAGTGACGCCCCTGGTTACCAGCATTCTTTAAAATATTTGTGTTCCACAGAAGATAGACATTTTGTAAACAGTTGACAGTAAAGGGCGAGTAAATTCAACTGGAATCGGTAAATGTTCACTGTCCTCACCCTGCAGCACTGGTGTTCCACAGGGATCAGTGTTTGGACCCCTGTTGTTCTCCATCTGCAACTCCGTTAACCATTTTCTTAAGATTCTAACAACACTATTAGAATTTCTGAGTGTCTATCTGACAAATCAAACTGGATTATCTTCCTCAAGCTTCATTTTGACTTGATTGTGCTTCATTTCGTCTCAGCCATGACCTCTGTCAAGTCTCATCTTGGTTAAAGTTCAGTTATTGCCTTCAGGTGGTAAATCACATTCACAATAACTGTTAGAACAGCTGATGCTCAAAACAACAAACAAAAATTACACTGGGGTGTGTTTGTTGTGTCAATTTATCTTTAGATAATCATATTTAGCAAATAAACACAGTGATTAGAACTTTAACCCATTGATGCTAAGATTTTTTCCAGAGATTCCTTAATTAGAATGGCATCTTTCATTTAAAATGTTATGCTGTTCAGTGTATTTTTCTTGAAAGATGATATAAATATGGCAACTTTAGTTTGACACAATCTGTTGGTTACACTACTGTTCAAAAAAGGTTTAGTTTTTTGAGAAATTAATACTTTTATTCAGCAAAAATGATCAAAAGTGACAGTAAAGACGTAAAAAATGCTAAAAAAGATTTCTGTAAAAAAAAATCCGTTTTTTTAACTTTCTATTTATCAAAGATTCTTGAAAAAACTGTATCATGGTCTCCACAAAAATATTAAGCAGCACACCTCTTCAATATTGATAATAATAAGAAATATTTACTGAGCACCAAATATGCACCAGCATAATAACGATTAAAGGATCACATGACAAGGAAGACTACAGTAATAGCTGCTAAAAATTCAACTTTGTCATTATGAGAATCAATAACTCTCAAAAATAGAAAACAGGTATTTTAAATTGTAATAATATTTCACATTATTACGGTTATACTTTATTTTTTGATCAAATAAATGCAGCCTTGGTGAGCAGAAGATAATTTTTTTCAAAAACATTTAAAAATATTTCCAACCCCAAACATTTGAATGGTAGTAAAAACCTATACAAATTTCAAACCTCCTGCATAGATTGAGATGGTGTTTTGTCTTTAATGATTATGTGATGTGCGTAAAATAGCATGGACATTTAGTTCTTAATCTGAAGGCTACACTAAGAGTTGTGGCAGATACTATGTTATCCAACAACAACAAAAAAGATTTTGGAATAAACTTTTAGACAAAATCAAGTTTTGTCACTGAGGTGGTACCATTTCCAAAGGTACAAGTTTTGTACCTTATTTAAAGAGTGTAAATTAGAGTGCAAATACCTAATACACACCATTTAAGGTGTAAGGGTGTATATACCTTCCTAAAGTGTACACATTAGGCTACCAAATTGGGAACTGCCCTAGTGAGCGCTTTTGTGCTCAGTGTAATAGCAACTTGCAAACACGAGAGGGCGTTCACATACAAATCAGCATGCTGAACTTTGATTACAGCTTCTTCTATGGTGACCATGGAAATAGACTATAGATAAAGCTCCCTGTTGTCTCACAATAATGTCCTGCTGTCTGTTCATTTGCCCAAAAAATTATTCATAGAACTTTACACATCCTTTATATAAAAAAATCAAGAGGACGAGTTCATCATGCAGTGGCCTCTTTACACGATTCAGCTTCACAAATGTGGATTGCATAAGTGGATGTTTCAAAGGATTCCTAGAATTCCGATCACAAGGTTCAATGGATCCTTTTTCTGTAAACTTAATCATCAGTCTTTGACTGACACTCTACTGTGTTTGCTGTGTTGCAAATCACAAGCTATGAAAAAAGAACGCCACAGCAAGTGCTTGAACATTTTGTAATTTGAATCGCATTGTGAAATCAGCACTTATGTGTAAAATCACGAGACATTGCGGCTTTATGCAATTAATCTCTACACACTGAATGGAGATGTTAATTAACAGATCAAATAAGGAAATCAATGTGCACTTTTGACTATTGGGATGACTCAAAACATCTTAATAATCTCAATGGAAAGAGAAACACCCAACAAACCTCATATGTACGCCTCTTTTTAAATATTAAAAGACAAGCATATAAAATGATTTTGAGCACTGCGTGTTAAGGGGACATAAATGCTTTTAGAACATGCTTAAGCATTGTGGTATCAGAATGTTTTGGACAATGAATAGGATCACGAAAACAGTTAAGATGATAAAAGCTTAAAATTACTCAGAGATGATAGCTGTTTAGAGTAAGGATTGAATATGGGGCATAAAGATTTGGTTTGTTTACATGCCTGTGGTTGTCAAAGGTTAAAATCACTTTAAGTCATTCCAGAGGTCTGTATACCATAGGCCTATACTGTAATACTTCATTGGTTTATACCATGGATAATGCTTCCTGCCTCCTTGCGCCCTTTATACCCCACATGTCACTTGATTCAGTGCCAGTCTAGCGCCCGGTGTGTCATCCTCAATAGGGCTTTGTAAGCGCTGCCACCCTGGTCTCTCGACCCATCCCCAGGCAGCTATTCATGGGTTCCCATGATTCCGCTCAGTTGGCTCTAGTACAATATGTGTCTGTCAGTGGCACCTCATCGGCATGCACTGGCACACACACACACACACACACACACACACACACACACACACACACACACACACACACACACACACACACACACACACACGCTGTCTCAACCAAGTGTGCCCACTCACTGTGCTTTTAGAGACGGTTGAGTCCAAAACGGTTTGCACATGGGCACTGTTTTGAACTCTCTCTGCCCTAGATTCATCAAATATTTTCTATTGCTATATATTCATATCTAAATGCCAATTCATATATGAAACATTTTCATGTTAATTATAAATACAGAGAAAAAGAAAAAAGATTATATATTATACACCTAATATATTATATTATAACATATCATATCATATCATATCAAATGATATGAAATTATATGATATTATTATCTATTCTTCAAACTGCTTATCCGATAGGGTTGCGACACGATAATATTGTATTGTATTGGATTGTATTATATTATATTATGTTATATTATATTATATTACATTATATTATATTGTATTGTATATTGTATTATTATTATATTATATTATTGTATTTTATTATTATATTTTATTATATTATTATATTAAATTATATTATTAAATTATATTATATTATTATATTATATTATCCATTTTCCAAAATGCTTATCGGGTGAATGTAGGGTCTAGCCTATTATATATTTTATATTATAAGCAGTATAAACACACTACACTGGACAAAAAGGAATAGCTGGATCTCAGGAGGATATAATGTCCATACAGTCTATGTAAGGAGGTTCAGCAATCAGCAGGCAGGAGCTACGTATGCATCTGCCCCTCCCTCTCTGAAAGCATCCGCATCGCTCCCCACGCACACACACACACACACACACACACACACTGCCCCTCTCTCTCTCTCTCTGTGATGAAGGAGGAGGAGGGACCTGCTCGTGTCGTGAGCTACGTGCTGCTGAATTCACATCCACCACTAAAAATCTCAATCTACCACCCCATGCAGACGCATTTCAGGAGCGCACACACTTCACTACAGCCTCAAGCCACCTGGGAAGAGATTCGAGTTTTACAAGCATCTGTGAACTTACAGCCTACGATGCTAGTGTTTATATGATTACTGATTTGTTAATATCGCGCTCGAATTACTGCAGATTAAAAGACGTGGTTGGTTTATTTATGGTCGGTTGTTAGAAAAAGGTTGGAGCTGTAGCTATTACATTGAGGAGGCGCTGAATTTGAGCTCTTTGCTCATCTGTTTGGGATTGTGATCGAGCAGGAGGGAGGAGTGGCGGAGAAACGGCTGGTAAGTCTATACTACACCACATGAACAAATATGTTATGCATTATCATAAACAGACATTCTTCCTTGGCATTATTTATTCCTCGAGTGCACTGATTAAAGCGCGAGACCTAAACTGAAGATTGCAATACATAAACTGATGTCCTGTAACGTTATATGTCCGGTTCCTTAACGATTTGTTCTATTGAGTCGGATCCTTATAATGATTCGGTTGAGCCGTTTCACAATCGTTCTGAACGGTCCGTGCGGCTCACTCTTGAATCAACTCGCCGACTCATTGAAGCGCGAAACGCCTCTTTCGAACATGTCAGATTCGTAATCCGATATAGTAGCCTATGTTAAAGAATTTGGGAGAAAGCGACAACTATGAAAGTTACTTTTAAAGTTGAATATTACATTTGAATTGTACTGGATATATTTTACCAAGCAACAAGAGTCGACTTTAATAAAAAATCACTTTATCTAAGAATGAATAAACCTATCAGTTAAGAGATTAAATTATATTAGACACTAAAATTAGTAGTTTAATGGAATGCAAATCGCATTTAAATTCAACATGAAATGTATGTTAGGTTAATTACTATGGAACCCTAGGGCGTACTAAATTACAAGCCTGCCTACTAGTTTAAGTAGGCTAGTTGGCTATTAATAAAATGTAACAGCAATAAACGGTAATATGTGTTTACACAATACTTTACTGAAACATAGCCTACATGTTAGGGACCATGGGATGACTGACTACGTCATAACGTAAAGAACGCTGAATCCCTTTTAACTGATTCTTTGAAACGAACCGTTTGAACGAATCGATTCGCAGAAATGATTAGGACTTGCCATTAATGTTGCAGAATGGCTTGTGAGCTAATGTAAGTTTTTTTTAGTGTTTAATGGAGGTTATAGACGTATAATGTTTATGTTAATTACAATTAGACATGTGGTTTCGCTTCTACTTTCATTTCTCTGTATCTCAGATGGCAGAGACACCGCCTACTATCAGACGAATACAATTAACCGGAGGAATAGCCTACATCCTGAAATGGTTTAACTAATCGAATGCAATTCAAAACCACTCTGCCTCTGAATTTCAGCAGCACTTTCTTGAGGCCTTTTATCGGCTGTGTGTCTGTCTGACACTGCGGCGAGCGCTTTTCTGCTGAATGCTCGTTCATTCATTTGTGTTGTCAAACTTCTCGACGTCATAATGATAACAGAAAGCGCGTGGCGTGAGCAGAATGTTCTAGGCGCGTGCTGGCCTGACCCCAGCTGTTTGTTGTCCTCCACGTGCTGCTGTTACACAATGTAAACACAATAGTAATCGGTGCACTTTATCATGAACTCCAGCGCTGGAGAATTTTTAGTTATGCTGCATTGACACTTTATTTCATTTTGCCTCGAGATATTTTAAATGACAAATAGGCCAAGATAAAAAAAGTAGCCTAAATTAAAAAAATGCATAGGCTACGTCTATCCGACGTTAAACCTGTATTTTGGGGTTTACTTTCTTTTAACTTAGTTTTAGTAGTTTTTTAGGGATGAACTTATGTCCATATTATATTTGTCCTATAGTCATGGAAAATTATTGCATGTTATTATTTGTATTTAACATTAATTTATTTCAAACGTCCATGACCCTATCAGAACAGACCTGCAACCCATTTTGGGTTGTGGACCACCACAATTTTGGATTGTGAACTACTTATTTTCCACTTATTTTTAAACTTTAGATGAACCTAAGAGCTCCAAGGAACAGAATTCTTCTTAATTTGTCATGACGAGAAGACATTCATTTACTTTAATTGCATCTCACATCATCAAGCAGACAGGTCTGGTCTCTGGTGTAATACTGAGCTTTGCATGCTGTTTTTCAGTCTAGCAAGGCTGAACGAAATGTACGGCATGTAATAAGAACTAATCAGGAACTTGTTTTTGTGCACAATGTCTAGAGATGTCAATTTGCCTTATGCCATCCTGGCTGCTTGGTACTAGACAATGAAAATAACAGCCCCCTATGGTGAAGAGGTCAACAGTGTGGCCTTATGTGGAGCAGTACTACAAAACTATAAACATTTGCCCACAGCTCACTGTTAAAAACAGTTTATTCAAGGGCAACTGACCCTTTTCACTCTGTCTGTGTTCAGATACAAGTTTATTCATATTTCAACATGCTGATGTTTAAAACCAAATTGATAATTTCTGATGTTTTTGCTTTGTACAATGCTTGTATGTTACTATATGCTTATATGACTAACAAATATTCAGCTTTGCTAATATAACTTTGAGGTTACTTAACATGCAAATGAGCTGCTGAACTGATATTAGCCTGTCTTCGAGTCGTACATGAATCTTATGAATAGTTTTACACATGCCAGACATGACTCATGGGTCATTTGTGGGAACTGTAGTTAATTCCAAGTCTAATTATTGCTTTCTAATGATAAGTCTGGAAATTGCTTTATTCAGGTAGAATATGTGGAAAGTAAACGCATCATAATGAAGCGATTCGTCATCAGCTGGATTTGCATGTTTGTTCCCCTCAATACTCTTTTATGTAAAAAAAAAGATTACATAACTTTCAAAGACACCGATGTGAATTAGTCATCATGTTTTACAGGCTCCTGAATTCTGAATCCTGCCTAAAATCCACAAAGATGATATATCTGCCAGTGTAAGTGTAAACATAATGCTTTACAACATATTTGATAGCTGAGTTGTCTGGTCATCTAAGGTTAATTGATTCTAAAGGAAATAAAACTGTCTCTCATATGAATGATCACTTATAGCTGAGATCGCTCGCCTACGTAATGTCTTATATCAAAAGTCTTTTTAATGAACAGTTGCTCCAGTATTTCCGGTATGTTTTTGTAGATCTTTGAAAGAAAATCACTCTCTGGTGATTTAGAAATGCTGATTTTGTAGCAAAAGATACTTGTGTAATAATAACACTGTACCTGTGTGCTTATTTGTGTATACATGACCACATGATGAACAGAAGATAAGAAATAAGACCAAAAGGAAGACTAGGGCAAAACAAAATTGTTTATGAGAAAGCCCTGTGGGGAATGTCATCTGAGAGGGTAAATTAGGGGCAACAGCTGCTGGTGTCACTTCTACAACTTGTTTGTACCATCTCATGTTACCATTTAAGCTCACAAGACAGGACACTTGCCCTCTTAGTTCATTTAAGGATCATCAGATCCCTCATAAAAGCAAATTCAGATCTGTTCTCATTCTCAAGTCAGTAGAACAAGCCAGATTGCACTTTCAGCACAGCAGAGCATTAGAGAGAATTATTGCAAGATAAGCTATTTGTTTGCATGTACAGTTTTAATTCTGGACATATAAATCTTCTCTCTTCTAGTGCTTAGTCAACTCGGCAATACATATTACCTTTCACCCTGAAATGAAAATTATGTCATCGTTTACTCACCCTCATATTGTTTCCACACCCATATGACATTTTTTATCTGTGGAGCCGATACCGACATTGTTTTTCCTTTTGTGCTGGTTGACATAAAGTCATGTGGGTTTGGTTTTTCGGTAACACTTTACTTGAAGGGGTGTGCATAAGACTGACATGACACCTTCATAATTCACATGACACCTGTATTGGTTTATGTCAAGTTGTCAAAACATTTTCAATTATAATGACATAATTGAGTGAATGACACTTAATGACAGTTGTCACAAACATGCATAAAACCTCCTTCATATTAATGATATGTGTCATGTCATGATTATGAATGTCATGTCAGTCTTATGCACACCCCTTCAAGTAAAGTGTTACCGGTTTTTCTACTCTGTCCTGTCTAATCCCTCACCTGCAGCTCTGCTTCTGCCTAAAGTGGATTAATTAGTTGTTGGACTAACACCATTGCCCTGGATTAAACACTGTATCAGGGGGCTTTCACACTGGTCCAAATGTGATTGTTCCCAGTGTTGTGCTGAATTCTGACCCCCACCAGGTTATAACCCCCCTGACTGAGGGTACGTTTACATGACAACAATGTACTAAAAACGTAAAAGGTTTTCATTTGCTTTTTCGCGTACTGCGAAAATGACAGGCCAGTTTTGTAAAGAAAAATCTACACGCCTATTAGACCTTATTCAAAGTAGCGCCATGACATGTATAAAGCGAGGCTGTGCGGGATAGACTTACCGTGTTTTCAAGGACATCCACTGAAAAAAGCTGTTTAAAACTCCATCACTTTTAATTTTCTACTTTTTGTCAACTGAAATTCCTAGGAAAGATATTTTTGCAGTATTAATTGTCAGCAGAACAACCCAAAATCAACCCTCATTAAATAACAGTACAACTCACTGAAGAGATGTATGTCCATCTCTCGTAGCCTCGCTTTCATTCCCGTTAAAAATCAAAGATGGCGCTGCTGTGAATAAGGTCTATAGACTGAACATGTAATACGCATTCGCATGACGTCACTGTTTTCACAAATTCACGCTTTTGTAGATTACATGGAGACGATAACGGTATCGTTTTCAAAAACTTGCATTTTATACCCAGTTTTCAAAAGATTGTTTTTTCAGGCCCCCAAAACGCCATTGTCTAGTAAATGAACAGCCTAAATGCATAAAAAGTTTTCCTTTTCAGTTAAGAACGGTGTCATGTAAACAGCCCCTCGGTCCCTATAGGTTGGTTTAGGATTAGGTGTGGGGCTGGCTACTAGGGTATGGATTAGGCAACCAGGTAGCAGCCTCAACGAGGGGGGTAATAATTGACAGGTAGCTAGTTAAAATTCGACACAACACCGAAAGCCCCCGCAGCGTTGGTCTGGTTTCACGCTCACTTGATTCTATTGAACCCTGGTGCATTTGCGTTCATCCTACGTCATCACAAAAGTGCATGGCGCATGATATAAAACAGAACACATGTGAGAGGAGTTAATCTGTTCAGTGACAGTTTATCAGCATCCCTCCACCACCCCATCTCCTCACTTCTAGTTCTAACAACCGGGGGGAGTACTCAGGGTTCGGGCCAAATTCCGAACTCGGAGCCCTCCCACCGCACAGCCCTCTAAATACACACAAGCTTTACTATAATCTAATTATATGTAAGTGTGAACTCGTGAAATGCATTTTGTTGAAGTAATGATGTCGCCATCGTCTAAAACTTACAAGCAGGTTACTTTACTTCCTGAACAAGTGTGCACCAGAGTCCCATTGCTTTCACAACATTCACGCGAATCCCACCACAGATCCAGTGCATCCGAGCTCAAACCACCTCCTACTTTTGGGTCCGGTACCACGGTGCGCTCCCAGGTCCGCATGACAGCTTACACATTACCAATTTCTCATGCGAACCGTTTTGAACTAGACTGCCAGTGTGAAAGTAATCTCACTGTCCACAAATACTGCTTAATATTTGTTTTTGTGAAAACCATGATTCGTCTCTTTAGGATTCTTTGATGAATACAAAGTTTAAAAGGACTGCCACTTTTGATTCATTTAATGTGTCCTTTGCTGATATAAAAGTAAAATATACAAATAAAAGTATTAATTCCTTAAAATCTCTCTTATACCAAAATATTGAATGGTATTATATTCTGTGTAACTTTGTGGCAAAGGTTTCTTTTACAAGCAATGTCCACATTAATAGGATGACATGTACATGTACATACATTCTGTATGTGTTGTGTGGTTAATTTTTGTTAGTAACAAATTGCAAGGTATCTTGATTAATCTCAAGCTTTGTGAGTTTTCAACTCTGTAAGTTAGAGTTGCTCAAAGGCCCTGTTTACAACTTGTATTAAGATGTGTTTTGGTCGATCAAATCACAAGTGGACGGCGCTAAATACACGTATAAACGGGGTCTAAAACTTCACGAGTTCTCACTTACATCAAATTAAACAGAGTAAGGAATATGCGTATTTCGCGGGCTGTCCGGGGGGAGGGCTCCGAGCTCGGAATATTTGCCCGAACCCTGAGTACTCCCCCCGGATGTTGCAAGAGTTGTTAAGACTAGAAGTGAGGAGATGCTGTTAAACTGTCAATGTACGGAGGTAAGTCTGCTGTATACCTCTTAAGTCGTTCATTGGGTTGATTAACTAAATGTGCTCCACTCGTGTCTAATTAGCTTTGATTATCTGATTGTGCTCCACATGTGTTTAATTAGGTTTAATTATCTGAACGTGCTCCTCCTGAACTTTGTTAATAAAACATCATGTTTTGAGCTTGTCCACTTTCGACCACTTTGAGGTAGTCGAAAATGCATTAGACCGGATTGCTTTCGTAGTGCGTTCGAACAGCCGCAAAAGAGCGCCTACTCTCCACCTTCTGACCTAATGCACAAATGTCATGGGAAGCGCTGGCCAGAATTTAAACTTTGTCGGCTGAAGATATTTGATTTGAAGATTAAAAAAAAACATATCAAGCACAATGTTCTCTCACCATTCCTGATTTCTAACTTGCAATCTCGGCGTTCGCCATATTATTGCGCCTATCAGAGCAGGAGCGAAAGCTGCTGTTCTCCATTTGTTTTTCCGTCATCTCCAGTTGCATTCATATGTAAATTGAGTGAGATTATTTCGACCGAAAGATCTGTTAAAGCCCATACATTTAACCGCCAATAGACCCTCCCCTCAAACGAAATCAGGACAGAAGTGGTTGAAAGTGGACAAAAGATACAGATTAAAAAACACCAGATGTGAACGGAAATGTGTCTGTCTCGTCTTGTAGTTGTAGTTGTGATCCGATCGACAAAAAATGCATCTTAATACCAGGTTTAAACATGGCCAAAGAAGCGCCATCATTTTGGAAAGGGAAAAATAGTTAAAGAGTAGATTTATAGAAAAGTGTTTGTTTATGCTGATGTTAGAAGTCACCGTCTGACTATCTATTATTTTCCTGAGCTGAAGCCTTTTGAAAACAAGCTTTGTAATTTCAAGGTTTTTTGTTTTTGTTTTTTTGGGCCATAATTGTGATTTTGACTGCTACTTTTGACAGTTCTGCAAGACCATCAAATCTTGTTAGGTACTATATGTAAGAAGAGATGCTAAACTCATGACCACATAATATCTCACTAACCTGGCACAGACACTGTCAGGACCCACACCACTCCCCTTACGAAGCTGGAGGCCTTCTAGTTTTGTTGTAATATTAAGTTTCAAATGTGCAACTGGGATAGCCAGGGCTCAAGGCTCAGTGGAAATTTCCACTTCAGATTCAGACAGCAGCCTTTGTTCTGGTGCAGGGGCTTGCCACAAGCTGCTGGAAATTGGCTTGGGACTTTGTTGTGAAAGAGTGCAAACAGAGCTTTTTCCAGACACGAAAAATAGACAAATGATGATAAAAAAGAAAACAATCTAAAAATTGGTCTCAACTTCTGGCAAAGCATGTTCCTGTTTTATAGGTCTCCAGTGAATAGAAGGATATTGAGCAATTCAACTTTCTCAGCCCTTAACGGTCAGTAGACTATACTTTTTTTTCATTCTTTTTTTTACGCAGAATCATGTGCATTGCATAATAATTTTGCTTTCCAACGCCCCTTTTTACTGGGATCACTGGGATGATGGGATCAGGGATTTTAATTATCCAAAACAATATTCCTAATATAGCCCTCACCATGTTTGGAGTCCAGGTGTTTGTTAAAAGGGAACGATTACCCAATTCTGCTCAGTAGGGGCATGTTGACAGGAAAAAAAAACACTGTTT